TCACGAATGCTGGCGACGGGGATGCTCAAACTTGGTTCTTGGAGTGCATTCACTAGAAGCTCTTTCTGGCCTTCTGCTTCGTTGCATTCACATCTTACACTTCTACTCCATATTCCATCGATCGATTTGTCTCCACTCTCCGAAATCGCGCGCTTTAACCCGATTCTCTCATTGCGTCGCCTGGTACGTAGCCGGCCAAACGCCGTCTTCTTTCCATGCCTCGCCTGGCTCTGCCTCCTGGTCCTTCGATGGTCCATAACGTGTAGTTTTTGTACGTTTGTTTCTCTTCAGAAACCGAATCTTCATGCGTGAAACTTTGTGTGCTATTTCCAGTGATCACAACTGACATATTCATGTTAGGAAAGAGTGCAAGAATTTTCCGCGCAAGATTCCTTTAAAGTGGCTAGAAGTGCATGGGACGCAGCTGCAGGCGACTCGCCAAGTTCCCGCATCCAAATGCGTCACTAAGGCGCTAGGGGCCAAGGACTTTGACACGCTCCACCTGTTGCGACACGCTCCGCCCACCGCTCGATATTTTGTCTGCGTCGCAATGCTGATCTGCTATGCTCTCTCTTCTCGGATTTCTCTACCGCTCTCCGCGCTCACATTATCTCTCATCTCCCTGCCGGCCTTTTGAACTTCTCCGCAACGTAGAGCAAAAGGCTCGTATTTCCTGTGTATTTCAGGATTTTCCTTCCTTTTTTCTTAATTGGCGGTCACAACAACCCCTACATCAAATTTGAGGGGAATTACCAGTCAGTTCAAGCTTGAATCTTGCCTTTAAAGTAGCAACCCAATTGAGTTTGCTGCTAATCGCGTAAAAAGATGCTCAGGCCCTAGTCGAGACTCGAGTAGAACTGTCGCTAAAGCAAAAGTGCCTTTGAAAAAACGCTTGAGGAGTTGGATATGTGCCAATTTGTTCCGTCCGCATTTTGGTTGGCACGCCCCGTTCCGTCCGCATTTTGGTTGGCACGCCCCGTTGGTACCTGTGAAGGTCGCTGGTTGGCTGAGTGGACTTGCGCGATTACTTGCAAACAGGAGCCACGTTGTAAAAAATGCTGCCTCTTCATGGCCCGTTTCACATTTTCTCTCTGAATTCTCCGTCTTGGTCATATGAATGACGGGAATAAATCTTAAGAATATTTAGTGATAATCACATGTTAAATGTGATAAGGATTCTGTTTGAAATTGGTATGCATGGCGTGCCCTGAGAATAACGATTACCGCTAAACGGTCTATCGTCATTTAACATCTACACCTTTACTTGGTGTTTACCCTTTCCGATAGAAACGCAGATCGATTCGATAGAATATGAACAATTCATTCCTTTACAACGTACGCTTCACAAAACCACACACACACAAGAAAACCCGTCGTGCTACCGTAGTTGTCGCAACTAACAAGGAAATCAACTGACTAAACATAACGAGCTCTCCGATCGTGAACTGACCAGAGAGCGAAATACAACAATATTGAGCACAAATAATAAATATCCATGTAAATTTTTAGAAACATGTCAGAGTTATCTCAGATGATCCAAAGGGTCCCAGCTGCATGCCTCATGATTAACACACACTAGTGGAAATTTTCAATACAGGGTACGTTCGTCTATGTTACAGTACAATGAGGGATATTTGGAGGTCTTCTTAAAAGTGAATACAAGTATGCACGGATCACATCGAGGCTCACGCCGACTCAAGTTTCGCATATCGCATGCCATTACGGTACTCTTCTGGTCCGGGAGTTGCTTGTAAGTCCTTGACTCTGCCAGTCGGCTTCGCCGTTTGCGGTTCCACCACCGCCAAGACCTCGGATCTCCACTTCGTGACCAGACACTAGAAAAGGATAGACTTACTCTAACCGATTTATGTAGAAATTTACGGGCGATTTCAATAACCCAGAAGATTTGCTTGGACTTTAGCCTTAACTCAAGTAGGCTCCATGTCCGTCTTTCTTGAAACCTCGGCATTTTCAGATGTCTGTTATTTCTTCTGTGCCTGACAGGTTTTGTATGGTGGAAGATTTATTGCCTGACGTTTCGACGAAATCGTCGTT